AAATTAAAAGCATGAAAAAAGCGCCTATAATACTAACTTTAGCAAAATAATGGAACAGTACATCTTCAATCTTTGAATTATTACAAGGTAATGACTTTTTTTTAATCAAGGGAAACTGGTCACAGTGGCCAATAAAACTAAATTATGAGCAATGTTATATCAATGGAAATATCCAAGAAAGGAAATAATAGATTTCCTGAGACAAGTGATTATTTAAAAAAAAAATCTGAAGGAAACTGTTCTTTATTGCGTTCAAGTAGACTGAATTACTCATTTTACAGGCAACAACCTGTTGGTTTGGGTTATGAGTAAAACATATGTAAATTCTTTCTTCTGACAGTAACAAAGTTTTAATTTGAAAGGCCCAGAAAGACAGAGACAGAGAGAGAAGGGGAGAGAAAGAAGAAGAAATAGAGACAGAGAAAGATGGATTCCATTTGTTAGCTCAGGCCCCTAAAGCCCTTGAGGGGTCTCAGAGCCAGGAACTGAATCCAGATCTCTCATGTGCATGGCAGATTCCCAACTACCTGATCTACCATCTGCTGCCTTCCAGAGTCGACACTGGTGGGAAGCTGGCATCAGAAGCCTGGGCTGGGTATTAACTTCAGGAAGTCTGGTAAGGGGATGCAGGTGTCTTTACCACTAGGTCAAACCCTCATTACTGGTTTCCTAAAAGATTTGGATCCTAAGAGCAAATTAAAATCCTACAGTGGTTTATCAGAGAAGTATAAGATTAAAATTAAATTAGAAAAATAAAAACCCAAGAGACTGACGATAGTTTGTCAGAAAGCAAGGATGCTTAATCTTCCTTTGCTTTTCTCAAACAGAATTAATCTATGAAGACATGCCAACACGACTTTTTCAAATAAAATGGATCAAAATTATGTAATAAAGTATAAAATAATAAACATACTAGGAGACAAAGCTGAATTAAATGTAAACACTTTTCTTATTATGATGTTATAAAAAAGGCATAAGAGCTTAAAAGAATCATGATGAATTCCTTTGTAAGGTTTTATAAAAATGCCATCCATTTGTTTGTGAGTGAAGAATGGGGGAAAATTATTCTTTAGCAATTGTTTAAAAAAATCATATCTATATATATCATTTCTATTGTGGCATTATGAAGAAAAACAGTGAGTTACAACAATCACTTTTTCAAAACTTGTTCTCAAATGGAAAAGAACTAGGTACATAAAAACCTCCAAAGGAAAAAATTTATATGATCTACATTCTTCTTTATATTTTTTCTATAAATTTCAGTCAAGTTAATGAACTTACAGTTTCATATGAAAGAAAAAACTTAATGGAAGTCCCTAAATTTCTTTAGAAATGACTTACAAATTCAACTAACTTGAGTGTACCTTCTAGCATAATATATATTAACAGCCCATATAATTGAAGAGCATACAGTCAAGAATCTCATTTTTAATAGTCAATTGGACTAAAGGAACACTGGCCTAATTCCTATTTTGTTATTAATAAAATTATATACCAGTGATAAAATTGTTGTTTTCTATAACTCTCAAGTTCTAACAGAAACTAATAACATCAGCAAAGCAATTCACAGGCTAGAGTTCTATAATATGCGTTATGTCATTTGATCCTTACAATGTTCAGTGAAGTAGAATGGGACCAAAAATTATCTTAGCCCAATTTCACACTGCAAAAACTGACACTAAGAAATTAAATCAGCAGTTCAGTAGACATCACTACAGGTTTCTGAATTCCAAGCCAGTGGAATTTTCATAATACAAGATTATGTAAGTCATCCAAATATGATAATATGGAACTGCAACTTTGGCATGTCAAAAAGCTACATATTCATAACAAAACTTGGACAATTAGTACTTTAGAAGTTTCAGCCAATGATCTACTCAATTATCAAAAGCAAAAACCTAAAACCTTAAGTATTTTCTTGTATTTCATGGGCACACACCGTAAACTAAGATGGGTATAATTTCGGTTATTTCCAGTATCAGCATAAAGAAACTAATCAGGTAAGATAAAATGTAGATTTTTTCTAATTTGAAGAGATTCTTACAATTTTATGCAACCTAATTTTAAGAAGCAATAGGGAAAAAAAAAGTCTACCTGGATGATCACCTAACTGGTACACAAATACTTAATTATGCATGAGAATAACAGGACCTGATTACTCACCTCCAAGAATCAATGTTCACCATTTTAAACAGTTAAAAAGGCTGATGTGTGTTTATGTGTATATTTCTTCAATTAAAAATATAACATGGTTGTTAGCCAAGAGACACAAGTTTCATTTGGTATAATCTGCATATTTCTTACTTCAATTAGCTTTAGATTAAGATCTTCCAAATCTCTTTTGAAATAAGACCCACACGTTGTATGACATGAGTTGTTCACTAGTTTAAATCTTTATTGAGAAACTTGCCAGGTTCTCAGTTCTGTATTAGCTGCTGAATTACTAACAAATTGTTCTTTGAAACTCTGAGTTTTGTTATTTTGGATCTTTTGCTTCATGACTAGATAAAATACTGCTGAAATAAAATACTTTTCACAGCCTTTCGATTATATAAAAACCTTTTCTTAGAGTATTATTTTTCCGTTGTCAACTGAACAAACACCAAACATTAGCATCTGTCAATCACAGCACAAACTAAACACATGGGAAGAGTGATCCAGACCTATTTAAAGGTGGTTTAAGCCAGTTGAGGCTTTTGCTTTAGACCTTCAATGGTCTCTTCCAAAAGAACACATTCTTAATTTGAAATGCTAGTTTGCTAAATGGCATGACCCAAATTAAATTCTGTTCTTTAAGTCAATGGATCGACACCACTAATTAGATTCTGTGGAGCAAAATATAGACAGTTCCTGTTAAGTAACGGAAGCATCAATAAAGTCTATCACACATACAGGACCATCTTACAGAGAAGATACAAATAAATACATAAAAATCTGGAAGCACAAAGCTAAGATTTTCATGGGAATGTTCACTTCACTGTTTATACTTGGCCCACTGGTACAAGAAAATCAATTAACATTTTGGCAGTTGGTTATATAATACAGATGGCAATGGATGGTAACATCTTTGAGCTCAAACTGACACCTTCTATATTTTAACTATATTTTTGTTTGTGTATGTTTGTTTTGGTTCTTTCATGCTGTTCTCAGGAGAGATTCTCAGACAAAATCTTTAAAGAATTATTTATTTATAAATGAACTCTTATAAGTTTGGCCTTAAAAGAAAGGTTTGCTAACTGTTAGCTGTGAGGGAATTCAGACCTTGCTTGTCTTGAATGCCAATTCTAGATCTAAGGATAAAGACAAAGAGGACAGAAGAAAAATATTTTGGGCCAAATGGCTAGATATTTTATGAAGAATAATAACTCATTAAGATATCTGAATATGTATTTTGGAAAAAAACATGAAATGCAAACACACTGTTACTTGTCAGACAACTGATTCTTCTGCCTGATGAAATCTGCTTTTTCACTATCTAAACTCTTGGTACTTTTTTGTTTTACAGGATGAGAGAAAGTAAACGTAGATTAAAAACGTCAAGAAATTCCTCAAATAAATTCTCAATAATCTTAACCTCTTCTGTTTTCACAATACTCAACAATTTTCAAACAGCTTTCATATGACTTGTTCCATTTGATATTGACTTGACAGCTTTTTGAGGTAGGTAGAGAAGGTTTTTAATCATTTATCTTACAAGTAAGGGAACAAAAGCTCAGAGAATGACTTGTTCAAGGTCAAAAACACATACAGCAAAGCCTGGCCTCCCTAGAGTCTACATTGTTGCTCAAAGTGTGATTTTTGGATCACCTATGGGGTTTTTTTTATATATAAATACAGATTTTTAAAGTCCTACTACCTTTGAGTTAAGAATCTCTAGCAATGGTAGCCCCAAATTCTGTATTACATAATGGACAATAAAGTGGAAAACAACTGTATATTAGGTAATGTCATAAAAACATAACATTGAATCTAGCTAGATCTTCCTCTGATATAACATGATAACATCAATTCATTAGGACAAGTTAGTTTTAAACAGTTGGTTTCAAGCATGGCTGTAGATTAAAACATCTGGAAAGTCTTGAACAAAACAAAAAGCTAAGAATTATCAACTGAGTGGTGGAAAGTGTTGGAACTCAGCAGTTTTCCAGATGGTTCTTACCTATAGTCAGGGTTGACAACCACTTGTTCAAATATGCTTTTCTACATAAGACATCTAGCATTTTCTATAATTTTTGCCATTTTCATTTTCTCTTTTGATTACTTTTCACATATTACAACATTCACAGTTCATATTGTAAATTACTAAAACATTACAAGATAATATGTCAAATATTTCTTGATATTTTTAAGATTAAAAGATATTCATAGTAAGACTAATCATGCTCCATTTAGCTACAAGATTTTCAAATATCAAATTATTTATCACTTTGGACTTGGATTAATAGGTATATTTCAGCTATAAACAAGAATGATCCAGAAACTGAAAATAAAAATGTGGGACAAAAGCTGTGGCCTACTGGCTACTGGGACAGCACAAGTGCAGACAATCAACTCACTATGGAGGGGCCTGGATACCAAAGTCTGGTGGTTTGGGCAAGGTCACAATTCACTGCAGAAAAACACAACAACAAACACGGAAAAAATATTTTGCCATTATGTAACTGTGGTTACCACAAAAAAACCTTACAATGTATGTTTATCTCATTAGCTGCCTCCACAAAGCACATCAGGACATGAGGTTCTCTATGAATCAATACTATTACATGAGAAGAGATGGGTACAAATTAAAATTTTTCTCAAAGCACATCAGGACATGAGGTTCTCTATGAATCAATACTATTACATGAGAAGAGATGGGTACAAATTAAAATTTTTCTATCATGCATATGGTTAAGTTATAAAAATACAGCCAATAAAAGTAATATTTACAAAACAAAAACAACACAATTATAGGGGGGAAATGCCCACCTTTGCTTTTATTCCATTACTAATCCAAATCTTATCTCTGGGTAAAGTTTATTTTGACTGAATTTTGACATAACCTTCCACAGACTAACCAGATTCTTCTGATGCACTTACATTCTATTAGCTAAAATACACTTGCTGATTTATCAAATTTTCCTACAGTTTAAAAACAGTTTTTTTCTTCACTTCCTGGAAATAAAACTACAAAGTCCTACAATTCATCTGAGAAATACACCTTGCATAGAAAATTTCCTTAATTCTGAAATTTTGTTATTAACAGAACTACCAGAATGTTATCTCACAACTAGTTCATATTATATGAAAGTTCACTACAAAGCAGTCACCACACATTGAGGATTTTTCTAAATATAAAATCAAGTGGGTTTATAAAAATGCTTACCAGACAAATAATTATCTCTTCACCATCTAGAAAGGATTACTTGTGAGGACTGAGGATTATATAATTCTTTGTGTTTTGGAGGCTTTGATGTTTGAAGCTTGATGCAATAGAAAAGCAACATTTACCTTTCCAACGGATACAATCTGCACCTGACTGAAAGCAGCGCGGTCAACTGAGTTTCAGCAATCAGTCATGCAAAGGCAAAGAAGAAAACCTGCTTTTTAAACAGCACAAGTTTCCCACTGAGGACAAGACCAATCAAGCGCTAGTTCCATCTTCTTCAATAACTCGATTCATGCTGGTGCCGTGTGTGATGTGAGTCATGGGGTTGTTACTGAGGTCTCTGATGCTGCTGTGTCGTGACTGTTCGTTGAGCCGATGGGAACTGCTGTGCCTGGAGTGATCTGTGAGCCGGGACATGCTGCCGTGAGGTAGTCTCTCCTCCACTCCTCGGTAGCTGCAGGGAGTGAACCTAACACAACAGAGGTTATGTCGAGGGGTGAGAGAACACACTAGAAAATCACTCATAATTTTCTTGAAAATGCTCATTAAATCAAAGACTCAAGAAAACCTGAGAATATGACTTGATTATTGAGAGTGATTTTTGAAATGCTGTAGAATTAACATAGCTAACAAAACCAGCAGATGACCCACTCAAGTTCTATTTCCTGTGAAAGGCAAAAGCTACACAACATGGGCCAATCTGGAGCTACACTGACTGTGCAGAGCTTCTTCATTCAACTAAGTTTTGAGTAACTTTCAGGGAGAGAAGGCACAGTAAAAGGAACAATGTGGCAATGCTCCTTAGAGCTTAGATGACTACTTAGGATCAATAGTAGAGCAAATTCAAATCTTACTAGAAGGCTAGGAATGGAAGAGAAACATGAAATCGGAGAAAACAAATTACTGTAACCTTAGAAAAGGTGAATGAATTGGCAAGCAGTGATGACAGTGTGTGCTGACAGTTTCTTTCCAGAAAACTCGGTTAACAGCTGAATTAACTACCTACAAATGATCTTAATTAGTTTTCATTAGGCTTGAGGCTGTGAATGTGTTTTTCATAGAAGCTACATCTATACTTGGAAGTTACATCCTAACATTTTGTATCCTGTAAGAATATTTCTGTTAGAGTCCCAGAGCAGTAGCCTAGTGGTTAATGGATACCCTAGGATCCTATATGGGAGTCAGTTCTTGTTCTGGCTGCCCCGCTTCCCGTTCAGCTACTTGCTTGTGCTCCGGGAAAGCAGTGGAAGATAGCCCAAAGCCTGGGACCCTGCATCTGCCTGGGAGACTCAGAAGAGGCTCCAGGCTGCTAGCTTTGGATCAGCTCAGCTCCAACAGTTGCAGCCACTTGGAGAGTGAATCAGTGGATGAAAGATCTTTTTGTCTCACCTCTATGTAAATCTGCCTTTCCCATAGATACAGGTAAGTCTTTGAAAAAAGATTCCTGAATTAGATTTTCTGTAGCTCTCACTCAAAACTCACTCTGAGTATGTCAGTGAAGCAACTGCTTGCTGCTTGTAGTCTAGTCTACCACTGGGTTTACCTTGAAAGGCAGCAGATGGAGCTGGTAAACTTTTTTGTTGTTGCAATCCTGACTCATTGAATCACATTAGAGGCAAGGATATCTGAAAAAAAATTCTCAGTCACAGGGAGTGATGACTACTAGCTCTAGGCCAGTCACGAAAATCAGTCGCTTTTTAAAAATTAGTTCTTACACCTAATAAAGCTAGAAATTTGCTCATCGATCTTTCTGGCTTTATAGTAAAGGACCAAGTTTTACTTATCTTTTAATTCCTAGTGCCTCAAGAAGTAGTTGTCTAGGATACTTGTTATTCATACATACATACATACCATCTATAAGATGACTTGACTTAGAAAAATAAAGTTCAAAGAAAGCTGAGTGTAACACTGATACAGTAAGTTCTAAGTAATGTTTTTTCTACAAGTAAGCAGAGTGTAGCAGGATTTTTTTAAGTCATCAAAAACCTAATTATAACCAGCTGAAGATCTATTGCCTGTCAAAAGGCATTCATCTGCCATTCCATCATAATAATGCAAAATTTCATGACTCAATATGAATCATTTATAAAACTTAAAGATCATAAAGACAGATTCATATCCTACTGAGGTGATTTTGCTTGTTACATATTTTCAACAGATCCAGAGTTTACAAATTTATGTCCTTTGGAAATTTATTCTTTTAGTAATTTTTGTTTCAAGTTTGAGTAAAACAAAAGAAAACTTAAGATTTGGATGGGGCCTGGTGCAATAGTGTAGTGGTCCTCGCCTTGAACATGCTGGGATCTCATATGGGCGCCAGTTCTAATCCCGGTGGCCCCGCTTCCCATCCAGCTTCCTGCTTGTGGCCTGGCAAAGCAGTCTAGGATGGCCCAAAGCTTTGGGACCCTGCAACCGTGTGGGAGACCCGGAAGAAGTTCCTGAATCCTGGCTTTGGATTGGTTCAGCTCCAGCCATTGTGGCTCCTTGGGGAGTGAATCATCGGTCAGAAAATCTTCCTCTCTGTCTCTCCTCCTCTCTGTATATCTGCCTTTCCAATAAAAATAAATAAATGTTAAGAAAAAAATACTTGGATGGGTGCATATTTAAAGACAAAGAAAATATTTCAGAGAAAAAGATACTTCATAGTTTGGAACTAAAGTTTTTAACTTATACTGCATGTTTTGGTAAATTATGACTTTTTTATAATTTTTGCAGATAAAAATGTTTCAGAATGAGCTTATTAGTTTACTTCAAGGACTGTTATAATTATTACCCTATTATTATTATTGCTGTTCCTCTATTATTATTATTATTATTACCCGAGGATTATCAACATTCTTATTCTTTCCACGAAGTAGACAACTCTTTCTACTTTGTATGATTTGCCAGTTTATTTCAATGACTTCACAGTATCTCTTTCAAATAAACATGGTAAATGAAGGCAGTAAAATAATCTTCAGCATTCTAATCAGGAAATGAATCATTGTTTTAAAATACTGTGGTGGGAGCTCCCTGCCTGTGCCCTGGGAATGCAGTTGAGGAAGGTCCAAAGCTTTGGGACCCTGCACCTATGTGGGAGACCTGGAAGAAGCTCCTGGCTCCTGGCTTCGGATTGACTCAGCTCCAGCCATTGCGGCCACTTTGGGAGTTAACCCCCAGATGGAAGATCTTCCTCTCTGCCTCTCCTCCTCTCTGTATATCCACCTTTCCAATAAAAATAAATAAATCTTTTTAAAAAATATTGCAGTGGGGGGTGAGGCAGGAGGCAGGTGTTCTGCCAAGTCCTCCCCTCAAGTTCCTGGGCTTGATACTCGGCTGCAGGTCGTGTCTGGCTCCTGGCTCATGCAAAGTGCCCCGGCCCGCGGGGTCTTCAACGGAGACCTGGGGAGAGAACCGACGATTGGGGGGGAACAGGAGACACGAAGAATGGGAGCAAGACAGGAGGTCTGATCAAGCTCCGAAAACTTTATTTTCTCAGGCAGTATTTAAGCCGCAGGTAAAGGCTGGGTGGGGGGAGTTTTACAGCAGGATGTGGGCCAGATAGGGCAGAGGTCACCAGGACAACCGTTATCTTGGGTGAACAATTACAGGTGAAAGATTACGAGGAATCTGGGTGAAAGATAACTGGATCTAGCATTCCAAGACCATTACAAAATGAGGAAATAACAAAATGGAGTCACTCCTGCTGTTCGGCAGTTCTCTGGTCCCCGGCATCTCCTCCCTTTCTATATTTTTTGAACAGGCAGAATTGTATCAGGTCTGCTCCTAGCAAGGAGACAGTGGGCCTTGACCGGAGAGGGGAGGTAGTGACCTGATTCCTCTCGCGGGGATAAAGAGTCAGCAACCCCGCCACCTAATGGCTCTTGGTGTCTTTTGGAGAGGAGGGGCAGAGCCATCTTGTTGCAAGGTCCTGGGACCACTGACACCAACCCCTATGCAATCAGGTTTACCTCTCAGGGGACTCAGAAGCAGGACTTGCGGCCTTCCCCTTGCAGTGCTCTGCCTGCACCTCTGCTACGGTGCCCAACGCTGCATTGTGCAAGCGTGCATGGGTCTGAGTTCCATGCTGGAGCTTAATCAGCTATGGGCTCATCGTAGCCCTGATCTGCCAAATCGAGCTGATGATAATGAATTTGGATGGGTTTAGCCAACAGGGAGTGGACCTGCTGCCGAACAAACTGAGTGATACGATTTACAATACAAGCACCACAGGAAACAATCCACAAAATGCTGATCAGGGGTCCCAACAAGGGAAGTAAATATGGCAATATCCCGCCCCAAGCTGTCCATACAGGGTTCTGAAACAGTTCTCTGCACTGCTTCGAGCTCTTCTTGATGTTTTTGGATTCGGTCTCGAACAATCCCGGACTTATTGGCGTAGAAACAGCATCGCTCCTTTTACCATCTAGTTCATGAGGAGTTGGGGTCCTATGGCCAGTTTTGAAACTGTACTCATAATAGTAAGTCCATTTGAATACATTCAGAATTATTCAGCTGAACAGGCCTTGTAGGTCTTAAAGAAATAAAAAGACATGCTTTTCCAAAAGCTTAATAGCATATCCATACATTAGTCTCAAAATGATTCAACTTAGCAATTCACATTTATGAATATTTTCATCTATAAGCCAATTAAGATAGACTACATAGCTTGCCACATAAACATGTACATGTGTATCAGGTAACACATAAAACAAAACAACTTTTGTAACAGCTACTTGACAATTCTCTTGAGTGTGTTAACATTACCAATCGTTTAGAATTACATTTTGCTTTTAATAATATGAATAAACCATACCTATAGTTTACTATCAAACTTTAGCAATGCCCCCCCCCTTTTTTTTTTTTTTTTTTTTTAGATCAGTTGTCTGTCCTACCATTAAATAACTTTACCAACTGAAAGATACAACCTTTGAAACACATTCTTCTGACTTTGAGGCTGCTAGGGGCCCATCTAGAAATCCCAAAACCAGAAGAATTAAACCTATTTAATATGCCAAGAGGCCTTAAAGCATCTAATTGAAGATTCATCATTATAATGTCCATTCATTTAGTCAGACTGATTTGAATGCTAACATGTTAAGAAATTTTTATCACTTAGAAGTGATCATCCAAACATTTCAAAGTAAATACATATCAGAAAATACCCTTGAAAATATAGCTCTTGATAAAATCATATAACTTTTTAAGAATTGTAACAAATTCAGTGGTTGGAACAAAAATAGAGCTTACTGAAGGTGGATAGACAATTGACAAAGTTACCAATTAAGCAGAGATTATCTAAAATTCAATGCTTCAATTTTTTAACAGCTTTCAAAATTAAAGATACAGGTATTTTTATTTTTAGATATATACTAGCATTTCTATGTATACACACTTCAAAAAACTTTTTGAACAGATATCAATTCTAACATCAGCATGTATTAAGTATTAACATTAAAAACTTAAACAATGTTATAATAATATCTTTAA